CTCCCGCTCGGTTCCCTGCGCCACAGAGACGCCAGGCTGCCCATCGTCCCTGCAGGTCTTGCCTCCTGCTGTCCAACAGGATTCATGAGCAACAGCCCCCTTGTCTACACTGGGAGTTGCCTTCCGCGTTCTCACCAGAGCAGCGGTATCTGGAGCTAGTCGGGGAAGGGCCGGCAGGCGGCTCCGTGACGTTCCAAAAACACACTTTCTGGAACACCCTGTTCAGGAGCCGTCACTGTCCTCTCACCACCCGCATTCTGGGGTTTATCGCCCTCCCCATCGCTCCGCTTGCTCAGGCCAGATGCAGTGCCCTCCGGACTCGGCCCTCACTGCCCCTCGATGCAAACGCCTTTCTTCACTCAGGAGGATTCATCCATCCATCCATCCACCGTTCGTCCGTCCATGGTGCCATCTGCCCCTCCACCATCTGTCCACCCACCCACGCCCTCGCTCATGCGTTATGGGCTCCCCCGTTCTGGGGATCCCTGGGACGAGCTGCTCCCCCGCACAGCTCCCCTGGGCAATCAGGTCCCCGCACACACCCGCCGTCCCAGCCCCGCCCACGCCCCCAGGCATAGCCGCCCACCCTCTTCCCTCTCCTCCAGCCGTTTCTCCCCAGCAGAGCCCGCTTGAGTCGGACTTCAGAGCCGTTTCCTTCGGGCCACCCTCGTGCTCAGAAAACACCCCCTCCTCGGAGCTCTTCCGGCACGGGGATCCCTCTTGGCCCTGCTGGTGAGGAGCCTCGTCTCGAGGCCGCTAGTGTCTGTGTCCCCCTGGGTGGGGTCTGTGTTTCACACAGACGTGAGCGTGAGCACACCCCCAGGAAGGAGCTTGCAAGGGACCAGCTGCCCGTCAGCCTTGTTTGTCATGAGGGGTTTAATTAGGTGGCACTTCCGGCCGTGATACAAAACTTTACAAAATGATGATTACCGCATCTATAGTAGGTCTCTGCAGGGCGCCGTGGCAAGGGACCTGCGTGAATTAAGTTCTTGATTCCACGTGCTGCCCAAGGGGCACCAAGCTTCCCACACACCCCCCTTCCCCACGAGACAAACGTCACCATCCCCTCGTCGAGGAGAGAGCCACGCATGAGGGAGGCCAGGAAGCTGCCCCCTGCAGGGCTCGCTCTCCACCCGGAGCTGTGTCCCTGGGCTCACTGATGCCCCCAGGGAAGGGCCGTGGGTCCCCCTGGGACCGCCACCTTTGTCACGGAGGCCGTCCCCTCCCTGTCGTGGTCAGCGGCTTTTCCACGGAAGGCCTGTGAGCGGTTCCTCCTGGGACTGGGACACGCTGAGGTGTCCATTCCAAGGAAGTCTGAGTGTGTGTGCGTGACCACATGTTTCTGAGTGCATGTGATGTGAGTGTGCTGCTCTCTGGGCCTGCGTGTCCCTGTGTGTCTGTGTGTGTTTCTGTCTGTGACTGTTTCTGAGTGTGTCTGTGTGTCTGTGTGTGTCTTGCTGTCTATAACTTTGTGTTTCTGAGTGTGTGAGAGTGTGACTGTGTGTTTGTGTGTATTTCTGCCTGTAACTTTGTGTTTCTGAGTGTGTCCGTGTGTCCGTGTGTATTTCCGTCTGTAACCGTGTGTGTCTGAGTGTGTCTATGTGTGTTTGTGTATTTCTGTCTGAAACTGTTTCTGAGTGTATTTCTTAACTGTGTGTTTCTGAGTGTGTCAGAGTGTGACTATGTGTCTGTGTGTGTCTGTGTGTGAGTATTTCTGTCTGTAACTGTGTTTCTGAGTGTGTCTGTGTGTCTGAGTGAGTGTTTCTTGCTGTCTGTGACTGTGTGTCTGTACGTGCGCTTAAACAGGGACAGGTCCTGGCTCTGAGGTGACTCACCCAGGTCACCTCAGTCGGTGGCTCACTGAGGTCAAGTCACCTTACCACAGTCAGAGGCTCCAGGGACAGAAAGCAGTGGCCAGCACTTGTGGTTTTGCCCTACACTATTTTTAAAGTTTAAAAAAAAGAAAACCAAGCGGAAACTCATTGCCATTTAATAGCTAGCTCAGATTTAGATAAGCTGTCGGCCCAGGGCCGAGGGACTGCTGGCGTGACCCGGCGGGCTGGCGGGACCCTGGCCCCCCGAACCCCGCGCAGGGCCCGGGCCCCCGCACACGGGCAGCAGCGTGAGCTCCGCCCCCACCCCGAGCAGCGGGCTCCCCCCACCTCCCGCGTGTCCTCACGATGACCGGGAAGCACATTTACTGTTCCCACTCCCAGACGAGAACACCGAGGCCCCGGACGTCAGTCCCCTGCCGTGCCCACGGTCACGTCATCGGGGCAGCAGGGCTGCAGCTTGACCCGCCCCTCTGCCCCCAGAGCCCCCGTTCTTTGCCCGACCCTGCACCACACCCCTCCCCCCAGTTCCTCGCTCCAGCCCGGTGCTTTCACAGGGGGGCTGAGCCGGCTGCCGGCTCGTTTGACCACTGATTTTTCCATGAAGAAAAAGGTTTCCTTCAGAAGGATCAATTAAAACTAAACACTCTGAGAGGAAATTTCTCTAAGCTGCCTTGCAGTATCAGTCTAACCCACGCCTCTAACCACTTCCTGGCCAGATCAGGAACTCTGGCTTTTTATAGCTGGGGACAACGTGCAAAACACCAGGGGGGCCCATCCCGAAATCCACGTCTCCCTGCGGCCCCGCTGCGGGCCGGGCGGGGCTCAGCCGCCCCCACCCCCGCCCTCTGCCGCACGCCAGGTCATTTCGCAACCTAGAATGTGGGGCTTTGACCTTGAGGACCTTTGGTGTGTGTGTGTGTGTGAGAGAGGGAGAGAGTGTGTGTGTGTGTGTGTTTTCTCTCAAGACAAAGCACATCCAGTGATTCTCAGAAAAGCTGGCCCCTCCTCGTCAGAAAGATAAACAGGGCCAACAACCCTGCTTGCTGTCACCTTTGCAGAACCCCCGCCCCAGGCCGGCTGGGCAGTTTATTACGATTGCTGCTTATTCTCACCCTGAGCCTGGGGCTCTCCCTGCCCTCACGTGCTGAGCTCAGAGCGAGCCCCGCTGGCGGGGACGGAGCAGGCCGCTTCGTGCGCACCTCGCCGACGGCGGGGGCCTCGGCTACCTGGACGGGCCGAGGACAGGAGGACGCGCACCTGCCCATCCTGTCTTGAGCCTGCAGAGCAGGCTGCCCGCCCCGCGCTGAGCAGCTCGGAGCTCTCGGGCACGGTGCGGCTGTGCCAGGATCCACCCCCCGGCTGCCCTCTCCCTCTGCCTCGGCTTGGCTTCCAGCTCTGGCCACAAGGTCCCTCCATGGGCCTGACGGCGAAGCAGACGTAACAGTGACTGTAGTATTGTCACCCCCTCGCATCGAGGACCTGCCAGGTGTCTGTGAGAGGCTGACGAGTGGCTGTAGGCTCGGGCGGGGCTCCTGGCCACCGCACCCAGGTCCTGCCTCTGCCCTGTGACCCTGAGCAATCACTCTCCTCTCTGTGCCACAACCCCCCTTTGTTGCAAACATGAGGCGGTCATGTTGTCTGCCTCATGGGAAGACCGTGAGGCTTAAGTAAACTCGTGTCTTTCCAGTACTAAGGACACACGTAACCCTCCATGGGGGTCAGCTCTCGTGATGCCCAGGCATCTTGGCCCAGAGGCGCCGCGTGGCGTCGGTCCCCATGTCCACGCGCCCCGGGGGTAAAGGGTGCGGAGGCACCGTGAAGTCATCCCGTGGACCTGGGAGCCAGGCCCGGCGCATGGAGCTGCTGCCCTGCGCTGCAATGAGCTTCTGGGGTTTGGAGCTCTGACGGTCCTGGTGGCCAGGACCGGTCCCAGGCTCTCTCCTGGCCCTTTAGGTGTCCGCTCCCCCCAGGGCTGCCCTTAGGATGGCCTGTTTCCATGCAAATGTCCGTGCTTTGCCCATGACCCTCAGTCCTGACTCTGAAGCCCAAAGGCTACTGGAACCGTCCAGGGCGGGGCTGGCCTGCGCCCCCGTGTTCCAAGACAGATGTCCAGCCGGGCACTCGGGGGGATGGGTCTCCTCCCCTCTGGGTGTCTTTGTCCTTTTGGCATCAGGGTGATAGGAATGACCCAGGTGAGCACGGGTACCTCCCCTAACAATTTCCAGAAGGCTTTGCTTGGCCTTATTTCAACAATCCTCTCCACAACCCAGCAGGAGAGACACCCTCTGCTCTGCCCCTTCCACGTTCCAGGAAACCGAGCGCTGCGTTCCTGCTGTTTCGTTTGGGTTTTGATATTTGTAACTCGGGGTGGGGCCTGGGGTGGAGACGTACACCGTGGAGTCAGCCAGATTCCTGCTCTCTTTACATCGGATTAAAAGCATCCAGTTCGGCTCAAGGATATGCCGTGTTGTTCTGGGTATAAAAATGCCCATGGCAGAGTTTTGGGGTGGCGTGCATGACCCAGAGGCAGGCTGCTTGCGCTGGGGACCCTGCTCTGCCTCTCACCGAGCTGTGTGATGCTGGGCAAGGTGCTGGGCCTCTCTGTGCCCTGATTTCCTCCCGGAGCCGGGCTCCCACTGCCTCCGTCCTTAGAGAGGAGATGCTCCCAGCAGCCCGCAGTTTGAGGAGACACTCACAGCGATGTCACAGCTGCAGTCAGCGATTCCGTCATCTCCTGGGCACCTATCATCAAGCCCAAGTCCGTCTTCACTGAGCCGGGAGAGGTTGCTGTTACAGGGCCCCCAGGAGCAGGGGTGGGCTGGGATGCCGCCGCGGGTGGCGTCCTGACCTTGGCCCCTGTTCAACCACCGTCAGCCCTGTCCTCAGCACGCAACCGTAGTTCGCAGCGAAGACTGCACTGCACCCCACCCTGTCCGGTGCCCGCAGTTCTCGGAGAAGGAAACTGAGACGAAGGAGGCATTCCCTCAGGGTCACACAGCAGGTCGACATGATATGGATCAGTTCTGACCGCCCAGGTGCCCGAGGGCGTCTCCGGCGGGCCCCGGCCCCCGACTGCGGGTGTGCCGGGCTGTGCCCTGCGGTCTCCGGGCTGCGCGGGAGGGAAGTGGTGTCAGACTGCCAGCCCGCGTCGGCGCTCTCTTCCAGGGTGGCTCCCCGCTCTCCCCCGCCGCTGTCATCAGCCAGGAGACGGCCCGGCAGCAGGCCGTTGCTCTGGCCAAGGAGGTCGGCTGCCCCGCCTCGTCCCCCCGCGACATGGCGTCCTGCCTCCGTCAGAAGCCCGCCGCCGTCCTCAACGATGCCCAGACCAAGGTGGGCCCGGGTGCGCAGGCTGGGAAGGGACACTTTACCAATGGCCTGTAAAGGAGACATGGCCCGCCTAGGGCCACTCAGTAGGTTGACGGCCAGCTGGCGCTATAACGCACACGCCCTGCCCCCAGCGCTGTGCACGGACCCCGTATATGGTGGACTGAGTGTGGGCGCTGATAGCCCACAGGTGTCTCTGCACCTGGGACCTTACCTGTAAGGTGGGGCTAGTGGTGTGGGCCTTGTGGAGCAGCAGAAGAAAGCCTGTGCGGGGACCGTGGTGGCAGGTCACAGCTGAGCGTACTGAGTGACGCGGTCATGCTGCAGTGCAGCTGGGCCGCCCTGCCCCTTGGGTTGGGCAGCTGAGTGCTCCCCGTTCCTACCTGCAAAGATGCTGCCCACGGTCCCCAGCTGGCCCTGCCATGAACGAAGGGGACGCTAGCAGGGGTACCTGTCGTCATCAGAGCTGATGGCTGGACGCCTTCGGCAGTGAGCCTGGGCTTACGGACCCGGAGTGGGTCTGACCCTCAGCCCCCCGGATGGGGGCTGAGTGGATAGTGGCCGAAGCCGATCCCTCTCCCTTGCATGTCCCACCTTTGGCCACCCCTCGCCCCGATCAGTGTCTCCTGCCGTACTGGCACCCCTGGGCTCAGGCTCACCCATCCTCCTGTGGATGCTGTCCCCTCAGTGCGGGGCCCTGGGGACCATCACTGCTCAGAGTGAGACTCACCTCCCCGCCCCTGGCACTGTCACCTGGCGCCCTGCCTGCTGCGGTTCGGGTCACTGTGCCCTGGGTCCCCCGTGGAGGCTTGGGGACAGCCAGCACCGGTGTTCCACGTGGTTAGGCACAGCAGTGCAGCCGGCCATTTCAGTCCCGTTTCTTCTCTAAAGAACAAAGCCCGTGTAAACAATGGCATTCCTTTGCACCCGACGCAGCTGCTGGCTGTGAGGGGCCCTTTCCACTACTGGGGCCCCGTGGTCGACGGCCGGGCCCTCCGAGAGGCCCCAGCCAGAGCGCTGCGGAGGGCTCCGCGGGCGAGGGCCGATCTGCTCATCGGGAGCTCCCAGGACGACGGGCTCATCAGCAGAGCGAAGGCCGTGAAGGTAGGCGGGGTGTGGGGGGTCCTTGGGGGTCCGCTGCAGGTTGCGGCCCTGGCTCTGGTCCTCAAGGTCTGATCTTGGTCAAGAGTCATTGCCTCACTTGCTCATTTGCAGAACAATCGCTGAGTAAATTACTGTGTGTGAAGGCTCCCTGGGGGTGGGGGGGGGAGTAGTCTTGGGGTTAGGCACAGATACGTGACCTGTGCAGAGCTGGGAGCCGCACAGACTCAGCCGCACCCACAGATGGCTCCTGTGAGTGACTCGCCGTGGGAAGCAGCGAGCAGAGGCCAGCCGGGGAGCTCTGTGGCCTCAGGGTCCAGCCTGTAGATGCCTCCATCCCACGAAGGGTGCTTGACCCACTGAGACTGGGAGGAGGAGAGGAGGGTGGGTGGAGGGCACTGCCTCCCAATCCCGGCCGGGAAACCCAGCCCAGCCTCCCGAGCTGGTTTTCCCACCAGGAAAGCAGGTTCCGTGACCCTGGCAAAGCAGCCTCGCGCGGGGTGTCGCCAGCACAGCCAAGTGGGAATGAGCTGTGAGGCCCTTTATCGGCCTGGACACACTCTTCCTGCCCTGACCGACGCCATCGTCATCGCCCCTCCCTCGGGGGTGGCTCACCCTGGAAGAAGCCGAGCACACTCTGCCCGGCCCGCCTGGCCCGCCTGGCCCTCCCGGTCCATGCGCTCTTGACAGGGACAGGCCCGTAGGCTGTCCAACCTGGCGGCCCAGTGCACGCACACAGTGGGGACACACCCCTGAACACGGGGCTCCGTCCGGTTCCGTCGGGTCCAAGGCCGTAGCTGGAGTTAGCGACAAAAAAGTCATTCATGCGAATGGTATCTCGGGGGCCTGGCAGTGGCCTGCTCCCTCGGGTACTATCTCACTCCGGGAGTCTATCTCATGGTGACAGAGGCGCCACTGTGGCGTCCTGGCCACACAAGGGCATTTACCGCAGTGTGGGTTGTTGCAGCAGTACACTGGAAGCAACTCAAACGTCCATTAGCAGGGAAATGGCCGAATAAATCAAGATCCGCAGAGCATTAACGATTATGCAGGTGCCGGAGAGAATGGACTAGACCCATCTCTGCCGGCTTGCAGAACACCTGCGACGTGCCGGTAAATGGGAGACAAAAAATAAGAAGGCAAGGAGTTGGAAGCAAAGGTAGCATTCACACTTCAAGACACAGCCAGCCTACCTCTACCTGTGCGCATGCGAATGTCACTTCAAGTGAATGATCTGGAAGGACGAAGGTGCCGAAAGACACACAGCAGGCAACGGACATGGGCTGTCTCAGGAGGCGAGGCAGTGCGAGAAGAGAATATTGTGAATTTAGCATTCCTGATGTTACTACATGGGCACATGTGTGTTCTACACAACCTATATGCTTGTGTGTGTGGAAAGAGTTGTGCTGGGTGTGTGCATGGGTGTGTGTGTGTGTGTGTGTGAGAGAGAGAGAGAGAGAGAGAGGTGGCACCGAGCAGAGCTTAGTCACCATCAGCTTCCGTCCAGTCGACTCACGGCCCAGGACGAAGAGCTTTCGCCCCGGTCCACCGCGTATAGCTCTCGAGTTACCGCGCGGGGCTGCAGCCGGGTTCCTGAGCCAGACGGGCACACAGGGCGTGCGGATGAGACGCCGCTGTCCCCCCTGGCCCTCGGCGTTTCTCCTCTAGAATAGGAGTCCTCCAACACTGTTGACCGGGCCCCCCATTGGTTAAAAACCAGTCAGTATAGTCATTGTAGTATAAAGGATACCCATGCGTATTCCCGGGCTAACATGCTGAGCTATTGCAAGACATTCGCAAACAGAACAGAAGCAGAAAGTGGGCCAAGGAAATGAAGGTTCTTGTATCTGGCTGCAGCCTCTCCAGGATCCGCACCGGAGACGGCGCCCTATAAACTTGGGGCTCCAAGCCCTCACCCATCCATGCAATGCTTCCTTTGTGGATCTTTGTGCAGAAGAGATCATATGATATGATCTCTTCTGCACAACGTATCTGGATTAACGTATCCAGAACCAGCTCTGGTTCTTTGGACCACGTGCTGAAAACGTATCCCCGCCATCTCTGACTTTAGAAAAAGAGGAAGAACTATTATAATCCCAGGAGCCTGGGGCTAGTCCCAGACGGGTGGGAGGGGGCAGGCCCTGGCTACTTCCCGTCCCCTCCCACAGCTGCGGAAAAGCCATCCATGGGGGTGGGGGAGGGATCTCTTGCTGGCGGCTCTGGGGCTGTGGCCGACCGGAGCGCAGCCCAAGTCCACCTTCTCTGACTGTTCCGGCCCACTGTCAGAGGGCTGCCTGCCCCGGCGGCTGCCTCGGTCTTCCTGGTCCTCTCCTGGCAGTGTGTTTCGGAGTTCCCCACCTCTGTCCTCAATTTCTGAGCCCCTCCAACCAGGCGCCTTGACCAGAGGACTGGGACCCCTCCCCAACCGTGCATTTCCCTGCTCTCATTGCATTTTCCTCTGAGGGTTTCTGGGAGATGTTTCCTTGGTCCGCGTGCAAGGGAAGAGTGTCTGCAGACACGAGCTCACTGGCCCTGGCGGGAGTGGCAGGGAAGTGTGCCCCAAGTCCAGAATGGGGGGACCCTGGGAGGGTGTAGTGGTGCTGCGGCTGCCATCCAAACCCCAGTCCCAGACGCACCCCCTCTGCACAGTTATTCTTGGTTAGACCGGTCCTTTGGTAGCTCCCTCTCTGCTCATTCTTTTGTGAGCACGTGCTAGTGTGGCCATGGGGTCGTTTTGGGGAGCCTGCGTCCTGTTCTGCCAGGAGTGCATCTCGGTGCCGACGTGGGGATCGAGAGGACGGGGGCCGTAGACGTGGCTGGACTGGAAGCCAGCGCCACACTTCCAGCGTTGCTGAGTGCCGCCGTCTCCTCCGTGTCTACCTCCAGCCCCGCGTTACACCTCCTGCTTGCGCTTTCCTTTTGGACCGTGGACTGGTTTAGCCCACGTGGTCTGTTTGACATCTTCACTTCGATTTCTCATAGCGTCGCACTCTTAACGTATCCAGAATAGCTGCTGACTCCACCTGTCCCCTCCCCGCCCCCAAACGGCACGCTCCCCCACTGTGGTTCACTGGCTCAGTGCACAGCAGCTTGTGCGTCTGCACGCTCAGCCCGGAAGCCCCTCTGGACTCTGCCCTCTCCCACGCCGCCAGCGGTCTGCCAGTAAATCGTGGGCTCTGTCTCCGAAGTGTGCCCAGAATCCGTCTCTGCCGTCGCTCCGATCCATGCCATCATCTGGGCCCAGGATTCCTGTGATGACCCCCAGGCGGCCCCTGCTCCGCCGTTGCCCCTGTAACCTGCAAGAACCGCAGTGGCCCCAGCTGTCCCCTCACAGTGCAGACTAGATGCTGTTGCTCCTCTACTCAGAGCCCTCCCGTGGCCTCGTCTCACGCAGAACAAAGGCCACAGTCCTTACAGTGACCCCCAAGGTCCTACCCGACGTGGCCTCTATTTTCTCTTAACCTCACCTCTGGCTACTTGCTCACTGTGCTTCATCCTGCCCGGTCCCGTTGGCATTCCTCAGTGCTACAGAGCACATTCCTGCCAGGATCTTGGCACTTGCTCTTCCTTTTCTGGAATGCTCTTCTCCAGGCAAACTCACTGCCTCGCTTCCTTCGGGGTCTGCTTCTCTGGAGTGGTGGACCCTGGTGGAAAGGGCGGCCACACCCCCAGCGCGCTCTCCCCCATCACCCCGCTCCCTGTCCTCAGCACTGGCGCCCCGCGACACCCCAGGTACTGGTCTGCTGCGTTTCTGCCTCGACTGGAGTGGGAGCCCCGCGAGCACCCAGACCGCATCTTCGGTTCCTGGGGAAGTGTCTGGTGCAGCCAGTGACCGACGAACCTTCGTTTGATTGAAAGTAGGAATTGAGAGAATCAGCCGCGTGCCAGGATCTAACCTAGGAGGCTTCCATGAAATAGTCCCTCCCCAAACAACGTATGCAACGGGAATGTGTATCACTGTTTTTGCGGGCAGGACACGGGGTCTGCGGAAGGCAGAATCCAGACCCAGGCCTTGCCGCCTCCAGAGGCATTCTCTTTCTACAGCACCGCGGGAAGAGCCTCCCCCAGCGCGTGTGCTGGGTGCTCGTGTGTACACCGACGCAGCCACTGCCGGGGCCAGTGTGTGCCCAGAGCTTTGCCGCCCCAACCACCTTCTTTCTTATCTCAACCAGCACGCTGTGCAGTCAGTGCTCACGAACGGCATCGGCTACCATTGTGCTGAGGAAGAAACAGGCTTCGAGGGGGTTAATGCTTGCGCCAAGGTCGTGTCACTGGGCATTTGCAAAGCCACGTCTCCACCTCTGGTCCTCTGGCTCGAAGTGAGCCGCGTGGCCCACAGCCCCGTGCGCGTTTGACTCCGGAGCAGGACCACCCGTGCCCCACGACAGGCGGTGACGACCCAGCCCAGAGCAGCCTCAGCGCCCTGCCCGACACAGAGCTGCACGGGAGTGCCCTGGACACACAGCTGGACACCGGGCTGCCAGCTGCCCTGTAGACCCCACACCAAAGTTTGTTTCGAAACGTCCTGCCTGTGCACGCCCTCCGGGTTACCTTCTCTTACCCCCGCCCGCTCATGACCTGGATTTAGAGTTGGGTTTGTGGGTTTCTCCAGCCACCACCGCCCCCCTGCCGCCCAGCAGGCTCCATACCACCTGGGTCCCACTGCAACTAGTTGAGAAGAACCCAGGAGGGTGCGTCCGACCCAGTGATTCCTCGCCTTCAGTAGCAGCCCAGCCCCCCACTCGTCTCTGCCGAGAAGCAGGACGTCGATTGTGGAAAATCGCCACGTCGGCCTAGAGTGGGGTGTCAGGCACGTCTCCCGGCGCCCAGACCCAGCTGTCTAGTCAGGCCACGCTGAACGACACCCCTTCCTCGGTGCCAGGCACCGTGTCCTGTGTTTGGAGTGCGCGACCCGGTTGCATGTGCCCTCAAGGAGCTCACAGTCGGGTGAGGAGGCGGAAAATGAGCAGAAGGAAATGCACACGGTCTGGCGAGATGGACGC